TGTAGCCTGCAGAAAAGGTGGATTAGCAGGGCAGAGGGCAAAACGCGATACACGAGTGTGGAGCGTGACCACGAGCATGAAGCGCGGGAAGAAGGAGGTATAAAAGGAGGTATAAACCTAAATGTGGAGCTCAGGAGACAAAAAGCTTGAACAAATTCAGGATGCAAGAAACATAACTTTGAAGACACAGAACGGATCTCTAAGATTTTCGAAGTAACACTACAGCAGTATCTGGTGACGCTGTAACAAGCCACATAACTTGACACAGTTTTAATCTAACAACTGGGCCCGGCATCATAATATAGACTGCAAAGAATCAACATAATCACCGACTTTGTCCCTTCCGAGCAAATAACTAGAGAAATACAACATACATTTCTGCAATAGAAATGAGGCAAGACATGAGACAAGCAACATTTAATAACTTGGCACCTGCCGAACCTGGCAAATTACAGAGGTGTCAAATTCTGCTTGTAAAGCATTATATAATAACCCAAGTTATTCTCGCATTTTGATTGGTTCTCACTTATGATCTATTGAAGGACAGACACACGATTGACGTCATCATTTCAAAGTTTTTCCCGGTGTGTTTAAAATGGCGGAAAGTTTTGAGAATTTAGATAATATTTTACATGACTGGGGAAAGATAAGGTACAAAAAATTCTTGAGGAGGCATTGGACAGGTACGAGAGTCTGGAAGAAGAAAGAAAAAGATGTTTCTTTTCTAGAAAATGACTCAGAAAAAAATACTTGAGCAGTCTCAGTCGGAAGTCGAGAGAGACTAAACCAAACACAAAATTGGTCTTGAAATTACTTTAAGGTAAGAATCCATTGCTTTGTCTCGAATTTAACAAAACCAATAAGCAAAAATATGTTTATGTCATTAATTTATTTCAATAATTCAACTTTTCTCAGTCTCAAAATGATTGTTGACACAGTTTGATTCCAGGAATGAAACATCAAAACATTGATCATCAGTTTAAATAAACACATACATGCAAGCTTAAGTTTAATCTTGTTTTCCAATGCAAATGTTCCAGTCTGTTTTAGGGCACAGTAGCCAGAAAAGTAGGGCTCAATACAGCTCACGGCCAATTGCATCCGAGGCTTGACACTAACTTTTCAACATACTAGCCTAGTGGCTAGTGATAACTTAGATGTTACTAGCTAAAAAAAATTTTACTGGCCAAGCATTGTGGTTGGCTACCTTGTTACATGACACTTTCGCGATTTGGGGGTGCGCATATTTTGCAACACTTAAATTCGGTGATTTTGCAAAAATTTTGTATTTTGAATCAGTTTAACTTCACGTTTTTGAGTAACACAAAATTTATTTCATTGGCAATGTTACTTAAACATGTTTTTGAATTTCGTAAACTGACTTTCTCAAAGGTACAATAATGTCAAAAGTAACAAAAACGCAATGGCAGGACTATATGTCAACAGTAACATAATGTGTTATGTTCCGGGCACTTACTTATTTGCGTCACTTTTATTTCACGAGTTTTTTTAAAGCGTGAAATTTGCAAAATTAGTGTGTCGCGAAAATTTCAGATAGGTCCAATAACAGCAGAATTACTAGCAAGACTTGAAGGCACAATGCAAGCAACTCTCTTTAATACATAATGTTGGTAATTATACTGTTGTTAAACTGGTTTTAAAAAAGTTCCAGTTCCCGAAAAGACTTTAAGGACTCTCTTTTTCTCTGAGACTTCCTTGGAAAAATATTGAGACCCCCAAGATGTCACTGTTATAACTGTCAAGACTTCTTCACAGACAGGCACAGTAGAAATGTTTTAAAGGCAAAACAACTATCTGAACAATACTGTAAGCTGTCATTGGCAAAATTTGACTGTTAGAAATGGCTGATTTAAATGTTGAAGGAAATAAATCTCTCTCATCTAATTATTTCTGTAGTGGTAAATTTGTATGTATGTATACATGTACAACGACAAATCACCCAAGGCATGTATTGTTACGCTAAATGAAATGTTATCCCTTTACAGTTCTGCACTATTTTGCCCATGAAAAATATTTTGTAACAAAAAAGAGCATTGATGTATGCTTTCAAAAAATGTTGTCTTGTTTGTCAAACATTTCTTTCAACATAATTACCATGTTCAGTTCCCTGTTTACGTACCACCCAGCGAAAAGTAGACAACCTCAAATTTGCAAATGTGCTGAACAGCACATGCCCGGTACATTCATATACCCACAATGAAATTCTGACCTTGTTTCCAAGAAAAGTGTAAATTTTGTGTTTGTCTTCCTTGCAGAAGACAGAACTAGTTCAACCAATTTCATTTTGTTGACTAGCCAAAGTGGCCAGTGGAAATCAAAAACCTACTAGCCAAAACTAAATTTCTGCTAGACTGTGGCTAGTTGGCTACCGTTAGTGTCAAGCCCTGTGTATCTCAACTATAAGGTGTCTCCAACACTATATCAAACTGATTTGAGAATCACCAACCACAGAGGAGAAAATTTCCACTGTCACTGTTCCTTTCATACAAAACTTGATCGAAGGACCTCCAGTGAGGGTAGTATAGGGGTATTCTCCTGATGGGTGACTAGCTGATTTTCTTTTCCGTGAAACGTGAATTTAGGAAATTATTCTTTCGTGACTTGTGACCTGAAGGTTTTGTGTGACCCGTGAAGAACCTGAATTATTAACCGATATTCGTGATTTTACCACTCTATTCTACATGATTTTCAGACACAAGTCCTCTGAATGGTTAGAGTCGTCTATCCAGAGTGACTTAGGTATGCGATTGCAATATAGAGCCTTGACTTAGCCATTCACGATTTTGCTTTCTTCAAACACTGCTTCTAGTGTAAGAACAGGTCATTAAAAAGAGTATCTTACTTGCTTATTTTCATGATTGGGGAAAACGAAATTTTTATATCCGTGATCCTCTATCTTTTCCGTTCGTGAACTGTGCCAGAGACCCGCCCTGTACGACCCTCTCCAGTGTTGACTGCAACTGCAAGTTTTCCAAACGTATTTTTTCAACTCTTGCAATAGTCAAGACAACATCCAAGCTTTTGGGCTAACAGGGCTGCTCCGATGAAAAAAACTGACTTGACTTTTCAGCATTTTCTTTAAGATTTGTAGATTTTGCAGTTTAATTCTACTTTCACTGTAAGTTTTCAATCCACGAGAAGCAATAAATTTTTAACTCAAGTTTGACTGTGGCATGATTTTCCTAGACCAATCACAATTCTTTGCTACACATAGCAACCAATGAGATTACTTCATTTTGTATAGACAAAAGATTACATCAAATTCGTCACATGGCTTTTTTTCCTGTTTGCCAAAGTGGGCAAAGGCCGGCTTTCGAATTAGGTTCAAAGATTTTAAAACTAGGGATAGTAATCACTAAAGCTGCCCCCACTTTCTTCTGCTGATTGAAAACAATGATATTGAACGTTATTGTATGAACTAACAATTTTTTTTGTAAACTATTTCACTTGTACTGTTCCAGTAACTTACGCATCTTACCATGAATATGATCCAGACAATCAACTAAGTTAAGTAAACCAACACATTCTGTTTAACTCATTCTATCACATGATATTCTTTACATAATACTCTCACGAAGCATTTACAGCAGAGCAGTTTACCATATCTCATTAGAAAGGACACAAAAAGTACTTTCTGGAAAAAAAAAAAAGGTTGCCTTCATGGAAACTAATATTTCTTTTACAAAAATTCACTCAGTAGATCTTTATAGGGAAAAAAGGTTAAAAAATTATAGCGAAACAAAAAATTATGTCTGCTGTTCCAATTTGATGCTGAAACAAACCATTTGTCTTGATATACGAGCAAACATATCTCGAGAGCCGAACAGAAGTCAAGATTTTTTTTTCTGAGACGTGACCAGAAGTATCGTGTTACAGTCACCATATATGCAAATTAGAGTCAAGCTTTTTGTCACCTAAATACACGATCCGAATAAACTAGATGCCAAAAGTAAAACTGGCGATTGGAAGGGTATTTAGCTATTTAGTTGCAATTGAACCACACTGGCCTCGAATTTCTAGTATACTTCAGAATCTCTTACAATATCTTCTGAGTTGTTTTTCTCCCAAAATCCATCTTCAGAATCTTTGAAATTGTTTTCGATTTGTTCTAGATCAGAATCTCGGCCATTTGAAAGTGAATTTATTTGATCAATAATGATTTCTTAAAACATATGCAGGCGAATATCAATGTTAAAAGCCAATGTTTCGGCGTCATTGTGACACGGTAGTGGAGTAAGAGGCAATGTAAGAGGCAATACTATGGAGGTGGAAAGGAATGCTTCACTTCCTTTCATCGGTATTGAACTGTTAAACTTAGCTCCAAGAATCAAGACCAATGTCTATGTAAAACCAACTAATACTGACCTCTTACTCTACTACCAGAGCCACGTGCATAATTGGTACAAGCGCAGTCTAATTACCACCATGTTAGATCAAGCTTACTACACATCTTCCGACTGGTCATACTTCTCACAAGAATGCGATCAACTTGAGACCGTATTCTTAAAGCTTAAGTACCTGAGGCACTTGTTCAATTTGCTTGTCAAGCAATTCGTAGATTCCAAGGTAGAAGACCAGCAGCACATTCCATCTACCAAAACAACTACACCCACCATCTGAGTTCTCATACCATTTAAAGATCAGGCCTCTGTTAATGTAATGAAGA